ACCAGATTCTGGTTTGGGTTTTGGGTCGTTTTCACATACCACCATCAAACACAATAAGTAGAGGTCAGTATGTGCGAAGTGCAGAAACCACCGTAAATACCGATGGTTTCTAGACTTCGGAGACAGCATTCGGAGACATAAGATTGTGGACGAACAGATGGCAAGAAGGCTGGGCTGGATCATGGGGGGGGTGTGACCATATATATATATATATATATATATATATGAGCTTTTGGTTTCAAGTACAAGTCACACCTCAGGCCTAAAACCATAATAGCCCAAAAGGATCTTATTGCAAGACGTGCTGCAGCTGCTTCGGGGCTTTAAACAGAGGCAAGTTACGGTGTCTCAGGGTTGAGGTCAGGTCTGGGCTGAATTATGGCAGAGCCCACCTGGCAGACCTGCTTTTGAAGACGCTGCCACGTCAGAAGAAGCGGGGTTCCACCAGCATGTGCCGCACAAGAAGAGCATGCTTCTGAGGCAAGCTGTGCGACAAATCGCGCAGGAAGACTTATGGTTAAGCATGGACACGTTGAGCCCATAACACGGGATCACTTGCGTGTGAGGCATGGTTACTCATAGTAATCGCCCCCAAAGACCGTAATCAAATCGCGAAACAGAAAGCCCCAAACCATAGATTCCAAGGTCCAAACCATCAACCCTAACGTGTAAACCTTAAACCCACACCCACAGCTGGCTCAGGCAAGGCGAAGCCTGCCAGAGCACAGAAGCGAGAGCTTGAGCCACAGGCTTTCTTGGCATCTTGGTTCATCTCTGACGAATCTGATCGAGAGTTGTCTTGGGGGATCCAGACCAAACCCTCCGTTTAGCAAATTGCTACAGCCAAGTTTGCATTTCTTATGACTAGTCTGCGTGGGTGTGCATAGGGTTTACGGTGTAGTTGCTTTTGTTCGGCACGGGCTGGCAGCGACGTCGGGTTCACTCAATTTCCGAAAGACCCAGTACCGGTGTCAACTGTCATTGGAGCCCCTTTGTTTACAAGTCATGCTGCCGAGGCTTGTGCGCATGGGGTCAACCTTGAGAAGTGCCGGCCACTTCTTCGCAAGCCATGTTTTTGTTGATTCAGGGATTTCGGGGTTTAGGGCTCTATAAGCGTCCTGGAGGGAGTGTGTATAAGGGGCTTTAGGTTGGATAAGTGTTGGATACGTTAGGGTTCAAGGTTTGCAGCGTGCAGAATGTGCAACGATGCGAGGTGTAGGGTTAGGGCCACTGGATCAAAGAACTTGGAGCTTTCGGGTGATAAACTAAATAATAGGGGCAATCGGCAGTATAACCGAAAGCCTAAACTCTAAGACCTAAACCTACACCCCAACCTCGCAATCCTAAATCCTAAACTCCTCCCTACACTCGTAAACCCTAGCTGAACCGGGAAGACCTCAATCCGACGCCCCGAACGGAAAACAAACAGCCCGATTGCCCACCCGGACACGCGAGGCTCCATGGGCCCATCCTGGACCATCCCGAGTGCTACGAGCGGGTGGAGGCCGCGTTGAGGGATTAAGGTTCTAGGTTTTGGGGGTGTAGGGTTTAGGGATTCACTTTGGGGTTTTAGGGTGTAGGGTCTAAGGTTGCCACTAGGCGAAGGCATGCATTGTGGGCTTTGGATGCGGTTTGGCGTGTGGTGCTGGGGCTTGAGGGACCGTGGGTCTTGGGGGTGAGTCCTGAGAGAGTATACAAAACATCAGGTAAAGTGCATAAAAACCCAATTAGACCCCCCGGGCCCTCTGGTAGCTTACGACAGGCTTCATCGCCTGTCGTGTAACACCAGCAGTCAGTCATTTCTGTACGCTATGGCGTCGGAAAATAAACCATGAAAAGATACAAAATGCAACTTATCATACAACAAGAAGTCTCAGCGCTCCTGTGCTTCGCAAAGAACCCGAAGGCCTAAAATCGAAGTCGCGAAAGTCTTGTAAACCCCGGAAGCCTTGAACCTTGTCAGGCTTGCGCTGCGCGCCTCCGGGCGAGTGCGGCCCTATGGCCACTCCTGCAGAGTCTTAGTGGAACAGTTCGTGGGGATTGGGATATCTTAAATAGTAATTACTCTTAGAGGTTCCTGTAAGGGTGCTGTAGGGCTGTGGGGTTGTGGCTCGGTCAGCAACGCAACGACACTTTCAGGGTTTCAGTGTGTCAGCCAACAGTCCAACTCTACAGAACTCCAAACCCTGGTTTCGAAGTTTAAGGCCCAATAGCCTTAAAACCCCAAACGCTCGACCTTGAATGCGCAAGCTCTTGAATGTTGATAGCCAGAGGTTTGGGAGTTTTGCGGTTCAGGGTCCGGGGATGAGTCGCTGTTAACCCCTCCCTCAGGAAGCTCAATCCTCGGCGGGCCACGGATGCTGAAATACTCCTCTGCCACGAGGTGCAATGCGTGTGTTTTCTGGCCGGTTCAGGGCTGAGAGATTTAGGATTGAGGCTAGTGCCACCACTGGTGGTTAAATCTGATTGTCTCAGGAAGAATTCTGTCGAGCCTCCAGACCAGGCACGATGTTGTCAGCAAGATGCCTCTTCTGTCCTGACTGTTGGTAAGATCATGGGACCATTCCGCGAAATTCCGTAGCTATCTATATATCTTTATTTCTGTAGTTCGTTCTTTATTTATTTCCATATTTCTGTATTTCTCTTTTTTCTTTGTTTATTTGTTTCTTTCGTTCATCCTTCTTCGTTTCTATATACGTTGCAGAGGTGCCAAGAACCTTGAGAGTCTGCACACCTGCATGAAGCATCCCAACGTCCTGAACATGAGAGCCCCGAGGAAGTAAGGAGATTCAGCCCCGACTGCAGGACTTTCGATGTCGGGTCTAGCGGGGTTTAGGGTGTCGGGTTAAGGGGCTTGGGTACCTTTAGGGGTTTGGCTCTGGTCTGCTGAAGCCCGTGTTTCTGCCCTGCCACAGCCGAGGCCTGCAAAACCTCTATGGGTTCTCCAAATAAGTTCTCCAAAATAGTACTGCGCCCTTATAAACAGGACCCTAGAAGGGACCCTAATTGGCTCTAATTCAGAGAAGCAGCCTTATGCAACAGCTTAGAGATCGCTAGTTGAAAAAAGCACCATCGGCTCTGTCAACATAACATAAATCCCAGCAGACTCCTCACGGTCGATGCTCACCAAATCCACAACTCAAGAGCCCAAGACACGAAATCTACATGCCCGGCAGGAAGCGCATCTTCGCGGGCTGGAGAAGCTCGTGCCTTGGACTTGCTTGGTATTGCCGCGGCTGCTGCAGGGGAAATCCCAACAGCCAGCACTCAATGGATCAGATTACCAGAATCCCTCGCTCCCAGTTCCGATGCCCTATTAACACCTGAATCCACCACCTGGCTACACGTCTGCTGGCCCCGCGACCCTCCTTCCCAAACCCAGTCAAACCATCTTTGCTTGAAAATGTGATCTTCCAAAGTAAGAGCCCGGATTTTCCACGCCTCGGGAAGCTTCTTTGGCGGTGACTTATTGGCCGCAACAGTCAACTCTAATCGCCATTTTAAGACTGGAATGCATCGGTATTAATTCATTGATATACCGTGAGCCTCTATGCTAAACCCGACACCCTGCTCGGCTGGGTAGCCTCAGACCCAGCTTATGGGCTTTATAAGTTCATGATAGCCATTTAGGGTTTAGGGTGTAGGGTCTATAGAGCTATGTGTAATATACAAGAGTCAGACCGGTATAAAACATGTTGTCTTCACGGCAGCAACAGACGCCCCCCTATCCTCGGAAGCCACTCTCAACCGGCAGCTCCAAAGAAACGTTAAACACAACTAGACCGCCAACCCTCAATTCAAAGCACTTGAATTTACACGGAGGTTTGACGTGTGATGGCATGGTTCTACAAGTTTCTGCCAAGGCTCAGTCTTCGGGGTCTAGCTTACGGGATTGGGGGTTTGGGGCTGCGGGGTATCAGGGTTTCGATCTTGGTGTGTGTGTGTGTGTCTAGAGATTGGCTTCTAAACTGTTAAAGCCCCCAAGCCCCTCACCTTAAAGGCGACCCTCGCCAAGGCCCGTGCCCACCCCACTACACCCCAAAACCCTGGGCCCTAACACTAAGCCCTACAACTTTAAGCTCCCTACGAACCCGAATCCTTGAACCTTAAACCCACGAGCCTCAATCTAAAAGACAGAAAACCCTAAACCCCACAACCTGATCCCAAAATTTCAAATCAAGAACCGACCCTCTGCTCCCCCATTTAGGCCGCAGCGGCCACTCGGACGGACAAGCCTCAGTTTGTCCCGTCGCGGGGCCCCGCGGCTTGGCCCGGCGCAAAATAAGTGAGTTGGACGTTTTCGTGCTTGTTCTATCAGGGTTTCTGAACTCATTTGTTCTCCGGTGGCTGGCTAAAAGACAAGATGTTCCATGTGTTCGGGTTGACGACTTGATTTGTTCCGAGGCTTGGCGATGGCAATCTTCACACATCTTTTTCAAACGTGAGGTCAAGTGGGTTTAGGACTTGAAAGACTCGGTTTGCAAGGTGGCCCGAAGCCGCAAACCCGGATTTCAAGCCTTCGCACGTCGTCGTGGGGTTCAGGAAGTCTACTGCATGATTGAGGCCCTCTTGATTCGATGCATGCAATATAGGTGCCTAAACAGTTACCAATACTATTTTGGGGTTCCTGAATAAACTCTATTTTGGCAGAATATACTCCATTTAAGGCCCCATTCTCACCAATAAGGCTATATCACTTCTTGAGGCATGCCAAGCCTGAGCGTGTTCGTGTTGTGATCGCAACTTGATCGAACCAGCCACATAAACAACAAATATTCCACAGCCAAAATCCCCTGCTTAGAGCTCAATGTGCCGTAGGCCCCCACACCGCAGATAAAACGTGCAAAGAGGTCTGCATTAGCGGGCCGGGCTCCGACGTCCGGGAAGAGGGCGGCGAAGGCGACACGCGACTTTGTGGCACAGCTGGGCCTCGATGAACCTAACACAAGAGAGAGAGAGAGAGAGGCTTGTTCTCCCTTACCCCTAGCCCTGGGGAAAGAAAGAGAGAGAGAGAGAGATCGGGTTTTTGATGCATCAAAAAACCCGATGCAGCTGTCGATCTTCATGTGGCATGCATGTCTCGACGCACGCGTGCTTCGAGAACGCAGTCGCTTTGCAGCTTTTCTAGAGTTCAAGTTCAAGAGAGGCCTGAAGAGCCACAAGTTGGCGAAACGCGTAGCTAGAAGCCTCTTGAAAAAGAGTGCGCTGCTTAAGCCTCGGCTAGAGTTGGAGCCTTTCTCACGTGTGCTGTGCAACGTACAGCCCAACTCGCCATGGCATTCGCTGAACCGTTACGCAGTCGCAGTCGAGAGCCAACCGAAGGTGCATCATTGAGAGGTCGAAGTGCGGGCCCATCAATGATTCCGGCAAACCATTTTCAAAGTGCTCTGCAGATGTATCATACTGGGCAGCCTTCGTCGTTTAATCCCCCGCCAGGTTTGCCCGGCAGTCAAGACATTCTCCTTCAACTCTTCAAGCTCAAACAACGCCGAATCAACTCATGGCTCAGCAACTCGCACTTGCTCAACAATGTCAGAAGAGCGAGCTGCACACATATACCAAGCCAGATGATATATTGGCTTCAGTTGAGCCAGGTCTTCGTGAAGTGTTGGTACAATGGGCGAAGGATTACAAGAGCACGTTGCAGCACTACTTCACACAAAAGTCTTTGCAGCAGAAATATGGTGATCTTCAAGCCGCGGGTGACTTACACAAGCAGTTTCAGACTGAGGCGAAAAAAATTTGGCAGTGGCCAGCGACTTTCAAACCTCATGCAAAGAAGCTTGCTCAGTGCATCCCGACTTTGACAGAAAACCAACAGGAGCCTTTTCAGATGACGGATGATTCATCGACACCGTTCGACATCGATCAAGCTTTCACGGAGTTACGGCAGAGACACGCTCAAGAATGCCACAATTTCGTATTGGCGTATCAACGCCAATGCGTGGCATACTTTGAACGTGAGGTGCATGTGACAATACAGCGAATCAAACTTGAAGATCTTCTCACTTCTTGGTTCGTGAAATATGCCGGTGTACTTTCAGAAGATGCTCGCACCTCTATGCACTCCCTTGCCATGCAGTTCGCAGATCTCACTTTCAGGACAGAGCAGCCGCGGGCTATGGAGAGGCATGAGAAAGATAGAGCACGCAAACAGAAACAACGTGAAGAACTCTTCAAGGCTGAGGCTGAGTATCGTTTCATGGATGTCAATAAGTTACTTGCTACTGCTGTGCTGGAGTTTAGTGCACTGCAGAGCAAGAGCTCTTCGGCTAATCGACATGCTACGCTTCCCAAGGATGGAGCTTTGGCCTTTCTGTCCAAACAGCACCCAGAGCTAGCCAAAAAGTACAACCTCGTCGTGAGCAACAAGGACTACAAAGATTCGCACAAGAAGCCGAACCCGAGCACTAGGAGCAGGTCCGCATCGAGGGCATCCTGCACTAAAAGTGCAAGAAACAGCTCGGCAAAGTCAAAGGCCTCCAACAAGTCAAATGGGCACAGGTCTACCTCACGGAAGAGCGCTACTTCATCCAGGGCAAGCTCCCGCAACCGCCCGACCTCGAATAAGGGCAGTGGCAAGGGTAAAGCCAAAGGCAAAGGCAAAGGCAAGGGCAAAGGACCGAAGCGACAACCGTCCAAATCAATGCGGATCAAAACTCCCGCCCCGCCCCGTAGGTCTTGACTATATGATCAAGGCCAAAAGCGACCCAGACGTCGGCATTTTTGGAAGGAGGATTACAGTATAGACTTTGACCTCTATGTGCGCCATAAGCTCAAAAGACTCACCATTGTACAGCTTGAGAGGCGTTACAGTTCACCGGTCCATGACCTCACTCCAGACAATTTTGAGATCCCTGCCTACGTGATCGCGTACTTGGCTAAGGGTGGCAAGTTCGTTCCTGATGCAGCCCAGAGCACTGCAATGACATTGTTCCGGCAGGTTGAAGCATTTGAGAGATCACTCAATGTGGCAGTTCATTTTGATCACTGCCAAACAGACGTGCCTCGCTTACAAGGTTCAAGATGCAGATTGAAAAGTGCATGGCAGCCGCCAAAGCACACATCAGTTTCTACATACTGCAGGTTGCTACGCATGGAGCTGTCTCAGTACAGTCCGTGCCACCGTACAAAAAACACCGATTTCATAGATCGTGCTGCTCAAACTTGGCTTCGCAGACATTCTTCGCAAGTTTGTGTTGTTGATGCAGACAAAAACTTCGGGGATGCAATCATCTCGAGGTCTTGGGTGACGCAAGAATCACTTCGCCTACTTCAAGAAGCAGCGTTCGTTACCAGTCATGACCAATACGTGTCCGAGACGGAGGAACTAAAGCATGCTTTGGACAGTTTTCTACATGCAGCCATGTTCAGACGCATTATTTCACTGACAAGGAAGGAAAGTTCATCATGTCCATGTTCAGTTCCATGAGAACAGGTAGTTTCAGCCTATGGGTGAAAGGCAGGCCCATCTTCAACATGACGCGGTCTTGGCTTGCTCCAGCAGCTGTTTATCTAGTTGATGTTCTACAACCATTGGAGAAGTTGCTCCCACATACGATCAGTTCCAGCTCGGAGATTATGGATTTGCTTGAGGGCGAGCAGATCCTCAATCCTTCAGCGCGCTTGGTCACCTTTGACATTCGCAACCTATACCCGAGTGTGGACAGGCAGCATTTCTTGGTTGTGTTCGCGAAACGTGTGAGAGCTTATTGGAGCGCAAACCCAAGTTTTGCCACGTTCATCGTGAAACTCACTGAGTTTGTTCTGATGTCTCAACATGTCATGTTTCAGAATGAACTCTGGAAAGTCGACAAAGGCTTGCCTACAGGTCTTCAACCAAGCGTGGTTCTGGCAAACTTGTTTTTGTCGGAGCTTGACGACCTCGTATGTCAGCGATGCTCATGTCTGAGTTTCTGGAAACGTTACATAGATGACTCCTTCGGAATCCTTCATGGCTCTAGTACAGATGTCGTAGCATGCAAATCCATATTGGACAGTTGGCATCCCAACATTCAATGGGACATTTCTGGTGAAGGTGCAAGCGCGTGTTATTTGGACTTGGACATCCAGCTGATCGCTGGGCGCCTGAATTTCCAGACATACAGAAAACCTATGAACGCATACCTATACATACCGAAGATTTCTTGCCATCCGGATGGTGTCTTCAGTGCATTGGTCATCGGCGAGACTCGACGACTGTACAGCCAAAACAAGCATCCAAATACTCTCAACCATCATTTGCAGTTCTTCCTGCACAAGCTTCAGCTACGAGGCCATAATCATCATCAAGCAGCAAATCTTGTACATAGAACAGTTTCCAAACTGCAGTCTCGAGACGTGAGCCCGGCTTTCAAAGCCAGAAAGTTCTTCTTTCGACAGCTCTACACGTCCACTTTTGACAGTCGCTATGTCAAGCGAGCCTTACACAAGCATTGGCATGTCGTGAAGATTTGTTTCAAAAATACTGTCACTCCTGTAATCTCATTTCGAGTTCAGAAGAACTCTTTCAGGAGGAATTTTCGCCACAACTGGCTTTACGCATCACCCAGCAAGGTGTAGAGGAGGGTGGGAGCTGGGTTTTTTGATGCATCAAAAACCCGATGCAGCTGTCGATCTTCATGTGGCATGCATGTCTCGATGCACGCATGCTTCGAGAACGCAGTCGCTTTGCAGCTTTTCTAGAGTTCAAGAGACGCCTGAAGAGCCACAAGTTGGCGAAACGCGTAGCTAGAAGCCTCTTGAAAAAGAGTGCGCTGCTTAAGCCTCGGCTAGAGTTGGAGCCTTTCTCACGTGTGATAGATAGAGCTGGAGATGGCTACGACAGAGAAGCTTGTGGGTAGGGTAAAGAGGGCCTGCCCCAAACACGCCGACTGGACTCTTGGAATCTGGGGCTCTGCTCGTCGAAGAGGACAGTTTAGGGTTGTGCCCTCAGGCCCTAAACCGCTAAAGCCTTAAAGCCCTGACTCTAAGACACTAAAACTCTAAGCCCTGGCCCAAAAACCCTAAGACCCCTACACTCCCCAGTTATGTGACCGCCGGTACGCTGGAAGCCGCGCGCTACTCCGTTGGAGGGCTCCTGGAGGTAGCCTTTACGGGTACTGTTTGTGTTTTTGTATGGCTTGGGGTTCACGTAAGTTTGTGGTTTCAGGGCTTCGGGGTTTTGAGCTTGCTGTTTTGGGGGAGGGAGCTAAATAAACTAGCTGGAAGCTATGGCTCCTGCTACCTTGGGTCTACATTTGCAAAGCTTTTTGGTTCGTCCGTGGAGGTTAAAAAGAAATCTGGGTGTAGGAATACGGAGGTAGCCTGAACTTGGGAGGAGTTGGCAATGTCTCAGTCTTCTTTCGTGTTCGAGCTTCAGGGTTTCAGGATGTTCGCATGTTGAATGGGGGGGTGAGGGGGTGGGGGGATGGTCATGACGAATCAAAGTCCACAATCCTTAACCCTGAACCTTCAGCCGTGGACCGTCTGAGCAGCGCAAACCCCATAGCCTTCAATCCAACAACCCTATGATCAGGCTCCAAGCCCAAATCCTATATCAGGAACGCAAGGACAACTGCAGATTCCCAAACCTTGAAGTTTAAACTCTAGACCGAAACACTACAAAAAACTGCGACCATCGGGATATCGGGATTGAGTGTTGGAGGTGTACGAAGTGCAGCAAAGACAAGAGAATTCGCTCCCCTGCTGTAAATTCCCCACGGCTCCTCACAGGGTTTTCGTGATGTACTAAAGTATCAGAGACAGGTCAGGGTCAAGGGAGTCAGGGTTATAAACGGCTTTTCGCTGTCTCAGTTGATGAACCTTGCTCGTCTTCTTGTTACTGTTGCTATTGCGATGGGTTGTGGGGTTGCACCGCAGTCTTCTACAGCTTAAAACCCCAAATCCTGCGCACAACACCTCAGCCCCCCTTCGCGTGCAGGCTGTGGACGAGATGCTGCGGGGCGGTTTACAGCTCCGCGACTGCACTTCCTGTCCATTGGCTTTTGAGGGTCTCTGGGTGTTACTTATATAGGATCAGTTTCCAGCTTATCAATCCTTGTCTGAACTCAGCGGATTCCTAAGTTTAGCTTTTATGCGCTCAGGATGCTGGTAGCCTTGGGATTCCAGATTTGGGATTAAATCAAAATTCCGGATTTAGAGTTTGCTGATGTGCTTTCGGCGCGCCAAGCAACCCACCAACGCAAGTGTTAGTAGAAACGACATCACATCCCAAGCCCGAACCCCGAAATAGCCCAAAGCCTTAATTCATCCCAAGCCTTGACTCGAAGTGCCAACCCCCCAAACAGTTCGCCATTACTGGACGGCCCCCCAGAATCTTGTCAGTATTTCGGGCTAAGGATGGGTTCAGAGCAGTTTCCATACAGGAACGGCGCCGTGTCCATGTTTGGGGTGTAGGCTTTCCATGCTAGCAATGATGAATATAACCGTGGCATTGATAGCAGTCGGTAGCAACTCTTCTCCTAAACTGTCCTAAACCCCAAACCTTCAAACCTAAGACTCCAAACCCATAAACCCTCAAACCTTTAACCGAAACCGCCAACGAATATTTCGTTCGTGTTCTTCCAACTAAACGCGATGCTGCAGTCATGGTGCGCACAGTCCGAGGCCAAGTGGAAAACACGACATACCACCAGTGCGGGGCGTTGTCCCTGTGCAAGACTCCGGATGGTGTTGTGTAGGCAATAAGGTATGCATACTTTGTGGACATGCTGAAGGTATGCTTTCGCAACTTTAGACATGCTCATCGTCCCGGTGCTCCACTTCGGCTTGTTACAAGGACACCGGCGAGGCTGCACACGATGCTCGAAAAGGTCGCTCCGTGGATGATGCATGAAAGTTTGTCCCGCAGCATTATGAAGCAAGCAAGTGGGTGGCTTGTCGGGGGCTGCAGTGCTTTGTCACCACTGATTCGGCTATTTTCGATAGACCAGGAATCTATCTGCACCATTCTGCACCTTTTGACTTCGCCGTTTTTCCAGCATCGGTTTTCGCAGATCATGCGATTTTGTCTGCGGTTTGAATCGCAAATGCTCCGATATGGAGATCAGTCAAGCTGCGTGGAAAGACAGAGATGGCGGACGTGTCCGTCTGCTCGCAAAGAGATTAGCGAAGCTGCCCGGGTCGACGCTCAGAGAAGATGCCCGCATCTTGCGAGCAGCGACCGACCTGGAAGTGCATAGCGACACAACAGTGGGCAGTCGTGAAGCTCCGCGCAGTCTTCAGAGGGACTACGACAGGACGCCAAGAAGCGAAACCGGGAATACAAGAAGCTTTTCGCTCACGTGCAGGAACAACTCGCAAGTGAAGTAGACCGTATATTTGCGGATGCATAGCAGCAGCAGGGCAAGACAGAACTGATGGGGAAGGCAGACAAGACCGACGCTTGCGGTCGCGATGATAGGTGGGGCCGCTGCTATGTGGCCACTACCTGCAGAGACGGAGCTTTGCAAGAAAACGACGCACTACAAAAACCAGTGCACAGGAGGAAGACTGTCCTCAATAACAGCGATGTAGATGAGGAAAAACGCCCGTGGCACAGACGGGCAGCCCGAACGAGCTGTTGAGAACTACGTGCACCTGCGAGTAGAAGTGGAGTCAATGCCAAGGGGTTTGCAAGCGCCAAGGAGGTTAGTTCTTTTTGGACAGTCAGCGGCCAGCGGAGCACACCTGGTGCGAACCAGAGTTCTAGAAGAGGCAACGGTGGATTCCAAATCCATTCGGCCAGCCTTGAAGCACAGCTACATGATTACACGGTGAGGGCCCGACAGGTGGCATTCCACCGAAGCCCAAGGATGGTCCCAGAGCAGCAGAGCTCCGAGCGGTCACACAGCCATTCCAGCTCGATTGTGAGGCGTGGCACCAGCAGCCCCGCTCATGGTGCTGCCAGGTGCAGTTTTCAGACCGAATCTGCGCAGCATAAACATGCTCCGGGCAAGCTGTTCTGTGCACAAAGTGCGAAGGGCAAGGTGGTGATATTGGCCATCGACGGAACACAAAAAAATTGCGATCAGCTATACTCGGTGCTGACTCTGCCCTTTTCTTGTTTGCCGCGAGCACGTGACAGAGACACCAGACAGCGCGTCTGCAGCAGCAGCTGCCCGTGAGCTCACAGCTCAACACACTGACACAAGAGCAATTCGCGCAAGCCTTAACCCGAACCCTGAAGCTTAATCCCGAACCTTTTATTATGTTTGGGGGCTGATGCCCTCTTCTGTGCCTTGCGTGGCCTCTGTTGGACTCTGGCACATTTGGTTTTCTCCACACCCCGGTTTCTTGGTTGGCCACGAGACCGCTCCAACTGTTTAGTTTTCAATTGCGTTTTTCACGACGTCCTCGATGCTGAACCCTAAACCAAAAAACTTAAAGAAGCCCACGGGTTTGTTTTGAGCCCAAGGAGGCATGCAGCAAAACCCGCAGCCCTCGTGACTTCAGCCGAGGTGCGGCCTGATCCTTTGCCGACCACCGGGCCATCATGCTTCCAAAAACCGTTCATCTGGCTTCTGCTGCCCAACTCGACTCTGGGGTTTAGGATTTGCGTTTTTGTTAGGGCTTAGTCCGGGTAATCAGGCTAGGGCTTGGTTGTTTGCAAGGCTTCGGGCTTCACGAGGAAGGGCTTTAAGAGTTTAAGGGTGTATGTTTGGGGTTGTTTTCAATTTGCTTAAGCTGCAGGGATTGTGCGGTTCAGGTTTGTGTTGCCTTTTGCGGTCCCGTTGCCTGAGATTTGGCTTGAAACCTGAACCCCCTGAGCCCCTAAACCCCCATAACCCTATGCCCGGAACATCCCGGAACTTGCGGGTCAGCTGATCGCGAGATCTAGAGGGCATCCCTGGACCCCTGAACCGCAAATGCCTGCCATCGCCAAAGAATCAGACAGCAGTAACGAAAAGTTGCTGCTCATCAAGAGCCGTAGTCGCCACCCGTCGACGATGCCGAAGAACGAGTGCAGTTCGAACCGCGATGCCTCGAGGACGTACATCCAGAGCCGCGAAGCTTTAATCCGAAACCTTGAGCCCTGATCACCGTGAAAGCACCGAAGGCTTGGTAAACAACATCGCCGTGGCCGCCGCTTATGCGCTTCGCCGCCCCGAAATACGCCGCGTATTGATTTTCGCTACTGGGCCTTGTTTGGGGTCTTTCGGGGTATTGCACTTGAAATTTAGAAATGTTGGCTTCAGGTTCCAGATTTGGGGTGTTGGTTCAAAGTTGTGGCTTGGGGTTTCGAGGGTTGAGGAGTCAGTGTCATGAATCAGGGTTTGGTGATTCAGGAGTAAGGACTCACAAAAAGGATTCAGAGCTTGCGGTTTGAGGTGAATTAAGAGTGGGGTGGTGGGCTATATTAGTATACCTACATAGGAACTATCAGGGGAAGTCGTACCAAGTGTATAATTCAGACCTCAATGCGACCACTGTGTCTGACCAGAGAGGTGTCCATCTTAAGTCCGGAGCCTGTACAGCTGTGTGAAGTTCGGGCTTCAAGGTCTCTAGCAGGCCAGTGTCAGGAATTAAAACCAGGTATGAACCTCCCCTAAATGCTATCTCTCATTCCAAGAAGCCCTTGTAAGGTCTCGCTCCAAAACCCTGAACCCTGATACCCCACACCCTATAACCTAAATCCTAAATCCTAAACCGTAGTGTAGAAAGCCCAGGATTGGGATGTCCACCATGGCCAAGGAACTCAGCAAATCTTCGAGCATTCCTCGGAGGTGTTGTTTGCCACCAGGCTTTGATCGGCTTTCGGACGTTGATGCGGTTTAGGTTGTTAGGATGTTTTAGATTTTTTTGTCTAGTGCTTCAGGATTTCCCGTGCTCAAGACTGAGGGATGAATTTTGGGGCATTGGGTTGAATGAGGGCTCATTTGCCCTGGGGCTTGTTGAAGGGGTCAGGGTTAAGGATTGGGTAAGGCCTGCTTTCTGGAGTTCTCTTGCGCAGCACGGAACCTAAACCCTATCCCCGAAACCCGAAACCCTGAGCCTGAAACCCCAAACCCTAAACCCTCGGCCGAGGGATTTGGGTTTGGCTTTTAGGGGGCTGTGCGAATCATGCCGAAGCCTGAGGACCGGAAACCGTGTGCGCTGCAGCATGTTAGTGTATAGGAGTAGTGTGTCTACTGCAAGAAAAAGTTCAGTACATAGTATAGCTTATCATAGAGCCTAGGACAAGCGAAACCGGGTTTATCGGCTACTGGTAGGGTTCGGGGTTCGGAGGGCTTCGAAGCTGAGGCTTCGGGATATCGGAGCTTTTCGAAGCTCTGGCAAGTTGAGAAATGTCGGATTCCTCAGTTTTGGGTGTTTTTGCGGGTGTTTGGGTTTTTGGGCCCCAGTAGTTGGAGATTTCGGGTTCGCGGATCGGGGGTGCGGGGTTAAGGTTTAAGCTCAGGCTGTTGCAGAGCCTAATGGGTAAGGCTGGGTTTGACGGCTTACGGCCGAGTTCAGGGCTTACTTCGTGTTGGGGGTTCTGGTTCCAGATTTCGGGCTTTCGGGCCTGCCTGCAGAAGTGGCGGAATTGCGACCTTTCCTAGGTAAGTGTCCATCGGCATGATGGCACGAGCTTCTACCCGGCCACGGGCGTGGCCACTGAAGTGGGATTTGGAGCAGGTGCAGGGCTGAAGTGATTGCTTTCCTTAAGCTGAAGCCTAGAAAGTCCTTGATTCATTAACCCTACAAACCCTGATCCTAGGCTCTAGGCCCTAAGCCTTGATCCTAAAGCCATAACCCGAAATCCTAAATCCGAAAACCCTTCCTACCTCACCAGCCACCAGTCTCTGAGCATGTCGTGGCTCTGCCGGCTGCATGGGCTTTGACGGCTCTGAAGAAGGATCCTATAACCTTGGGGATTTAGAACCGAGTTTTCAGGGTTTAGGATTTCGGGCTTCCTGATGTTTTGGTGAATTACAAGCCCGAGGTTCCTTCATCAGTACATGACTCAAGATGCCGGCAAGACGACCTGTGGTTTGTCGCCCTGGACGCCTGCGCCGGCAATCTTCAAGACTTCGCCCTATACTTCGCCCCTAACCCTTAGAACTAAGCCGAATGCCCAAAAAGTCCCAAAACCCAAAACCCAAAACTCTACCTGCGGCCTACGTGAATCCGACGATCCTACACCCCGCAACCCAAAGCCGTCGTGGCATTGACTTTCCCTGCTCTGCAAAGCTCATAAAGTTCCGCCGAAGCATCCATCGGAACTACAAAGAGCCTGGGCTGGGGTTATGTAGCCATCTTGGTATAATATCAGATGCGGCCTGCAGAATTTGAAAAGGTGTTTGGAGCATCATAGAGCTTACAGGTTAGTATAGGTGCCTTAATAGTTAGAACCGGGTTTTGGGGCCGAATACACTATAACTAAGATAGCATCGGTCTATGCTGGAAGGTCTGGGTTCAGTCTCGAGTTTAAGATCTATGGCGCGGGTGGTGGGGCCGAAACGGCGAAGTCGAAGGCGAAAGCTTCGTAAGTCCGGGAGGCCACAAACAGGCCTAGTAATAGTTGTCCCTTTCAGTCTCTATGTAACTGTGCTATAGTATATAGGTGTAAGATACCGCCAAACGCTATCAATAGAATTAAGGCCCCGAGTTTGGGTTGCGAGGTCCCATACTGGTCCTACCCCGAAATTCCGAGCTCCGCATCAGGCAAAGGCGCCACGGTGAATGTGGCTTTACCTGCCGGTTTCGGAGATCTGGCTCTATGGTCGGCCTGCACGCAGCGAGGCTTCAGCTTCAGCTTAGGGGTTTAGGGTTGAGGGCTTTAGGTCTTTCGAGTTTGGGGTTTAGTGGTTAGGAGTGTAGGGTCATGTAGGGGTTCAGAATTTTCCTGGTCATTGTAGGCTTCGGCCTAATCCCTTAGCTAGACCGTGGTAGACCCCTTAAACAAAGTTTAAGCCCAGCTGCACAATTTCGTTTAGCATTCAGGCTTGAGGGGTTAGTTAGTTTTGAGAGAAGGGAGTGGGATGTTGAAGGACACTCAGCATTCATCCTCAAGCAACATTATGTGTCCAAAATGTCGGAAAACTTGAGCACACGATTGTCCGATGTTGAGCCTTACGGTCTACGGATATGAGGGACTAAGGTGTAGTCTAGTCCATTGGTTAGAACGAACTAGAACATGTTGTTTCAGATTGCTGCTGCCTGGTCTGAGCTGATGGGGGGCTTTGCCGTCTTGCCACAATGAACCAGCCATCCGGGCATTATGACTTGGAAGCCAACGTTAGAGCCTGCTACAGCCTCAAGGCTCAGCACAAGTATCGAACAACAAGCCGAGCTGAACTACAACGATAGTTGATTCGCCTAAGAATCAAGTCAAGGCCGTGAAACACTGAAGCCAAAAAGCAATTTAAACCCACCAGGAAGCCTTGGGGAATAGCCTCGTAAAGCAGTTACGAAGCTTTTGAGTTTTCTAAAATGGAACCGGAACTTCGCTTGCAGAATCCTTCTGTACACGGGAATTCATATCACACCTTCTCAAACCCCGAGAAAGCCTGATACCACGGAGCTCAGGAAGATGTCGTAAAGTATGTATGTTTGTATGCATGGATGGATGGATGGATGGACGGATGTAAGTCACTGTAAGTCATTACATGCAGAAATTAAGTCTATTGAGATTTAAAGAGCCTTCCTTCATCAATGGGTACTGCAGGCCTTGAATCCCCTTCCAAGGCAAGTGCTCCTGCCTGCTGCGCGGAGCTTCAAGCCGGACATGCACCTGGGCCGGAAACCCTAAGCCCTTGGGGCTTGGGGTTTGTGGTTTTGCACATTCGGATATGGATGCTCGGTGAAAGTTTACAGACCCCTCGGCCTCTCGCTCGTAAGAACCCGTACAACTCGTAGAATACCATGTCAATCCTTGCGTCAGATACATGCAAGATACACCGGAAAACTTCGCAAAGCCTGCAAAATAGATGCTTCTGAATTGAGATACAATCCAAAAGCCCGGAACCCCTATACCCTAAATCCTGCACCCTAAGCCAGCATACATTTTCCATAAGCCCCAAACCCTTAGTCCCAAACCCCAACCACACTGAATCCTAAGTCCCAAACGCTTGCGTTTTTACCTGTGCCCCGGCATTCGAGGATTCTGATCAGTGCTGGCTTCGATGCTGCCGAGGCCCATTCGGCGCAGTTGGGGTCGCTTCTGAAGTAGGGCTACTTACGATGATAGCGGTTTGTTGGTATGTGCAGGGGCCGTACTAGGCTTTTTGAGTCGGGCTACGTTTGAACCCATGCTTGAATCCCAAAAAGCCTTTCCAAGGAAAAGTTGGTTTGGGGCTGAAAAACAAATTTCTCCTAGGAAAAATGGTTTTGGGCAGGAGAACGAACCTCACACAAGATGTTTTTTGTTTCCCCTAGGAAAAGTTTGCTTTTCGGTCCGGTCAGTAACTGTCTTTGTCCCAGGAAAGGGTTGGTTTTCCGGCCCAAAACCATTTTGTTCCTAGGGAAAGTTGGTATTTCACTCCAAGACCAAATTTTTCCTGCCAATAAGGTTCGTCGAGTGTCATTGGCATTGGGATTCGATTTCGCTTAGCATTAATGCTAATAGGTAATGACCAGGGAATTATTCGGATCAGTTTTGGGGTGAATAGGGAACTGGTACTGCAGGTTTAACACAGACCAGGACCCAGGATATCAGTGTTATCACAGCTACCACTACGATTTCCTCGAGCTGACTAAGGTTGTAACTTGGACAAGAGAAACATCGGAGTCAGATTATGGGTGGTACTAAGCCTACTATGGATGGCCTTAGGGCTGTTTCAGAGCGAATACCATTGACACAAGGGCGAATGACAAGGATAGGGTTAGGGTTGATGTTGTTTCGAATCAGGAGTCCATTGACGACCGTCGTCATTATGTTGGTATCTAGTACAGTTTTAACCTCAGGGTTAGCATGTGTATATACCCACACATAAGGGTGCATACACGCATACGGGCAAGTCCGACAACAAATCCGAGATGATCGTATGCTACAAGGAAAATTTGATGAGGCAAAACAAACAAATGCTGCTATCATCCCTAAAATCTAACGGCCATCATTTGGGAATCGCCGCCCTAGATGGGTATCGTTTTGTGTAGTTTAATATTTGCATGAATGTGACGGCTACCGCGAAAGTAAATATTGGGCAAGTATCTAGAGTACTTGTATTCATATATATGAACAGCAAATAGTATTATGGATGCCATGATTCTGAATTTCGGGGATGTGAATGCTCGTGCAAGGGATGCCACAGCTACATCTGGGTTAATTAACTTGTTGATGAGGCCAATGGGGTCGGGGTTTCTCCTAAAGCCATTATCTGGGTTGCTGTTGACGGAAGTATCCGGTACAGTACGAGGTTACCAATGCGAACAGCTTATGGGCAATATCAAGTTTGCGAGTAAGGTCCATCTTGGAGACATATCCAATATCAGGGTTGCCAAGGGGACTGCAATTTCTTTGTTATCGGGGGGCCAATCAGGCTGATGTATGTTATTATATGAACCTTTAGGTCGATATGGGAGTGAAAAAGGGAATGTAAAATCGGTTACAGTCGACATAGCAGTTTGATCCATATGAATCAAGACGTGAATCTTTAAAATCTCTCTTTTGGGTGGCCGTGAACTAGAAGACTACTGTCAGCACTGGGGCCGATGAAAAGTCTAATGGCAGGGTTCGCTTTAGGGATGCCGTTGATTAGGAATAGGACTCAGTCAAGGCCCACGGTCATTCATACGTATTGTTGGGCTTTTGATCTGCGACTACAGTGAAGGCTACCGTGACAGCTGACCATCATCGTTGAAGAAATCATCTCTCGGAGTATTTGCGTGAAGGGTCGCAAGAATTCAGAATGAAGGCTTCTGCCGATATACTTTTGCTGTCTCCTCGGAACTTCAAAGAATGACGTTAAACCTGGTTCATACACCAGAAGCTTGAACGTAGGAGGATTGTTGGCGCCATCGCGGCACCTCGCGGTAGTTCTGGAGGGGGTGGATAGCATACATACATACATTGACATACATACATACATACATACATACATACATACATGCAAACATACATACGTACATACATACATACATATATATATATATAAGTGTGTGTGTGTGTGTACACACACACATGTATATATATATATGCATATATATATATATACATTTAT